TAGCCTCGTAGTAGTAGTAGTAGTAGTAGTAGTAGTAGTAGTAGTAGTAGCAGTAGTAGTAGTCAGCAGTAGTAGTAGTCAGCAGTAGTAGTAGTAGTAGTAGTAGTAGCAGTGGTGTAGTAGTAGTAGTAGTAGTAATAATAATAATAATAATAATAACAGCAGTACTAGCAGTGGGGCAGCAGCAGCAGCAGCAGCAGCAGCAGCAGCAGCAGCAGCAGCAGCAGCAGCAGCAGCATAGTACCGGTTGTCCCAAGAACCATGGACCAGAGATGGCATCGCACACGCAAGATGCATGCGAGCGCCATCTACAGCTAAGTGAGCTATGTGTTTGTTCATGTCGGACAAGTCTGTGAACAAGGTTTGCAGGCATCTGGCGCGTACTTTCTCTCGCGTCTGGAAATCTGACAACGTCCGAGCTCGCGCACAAAAGACGGCCTGTGCTTCAATGTGACCTGATTCAGATTCTGGTAAGACTTGCTGAATATTCAATCAATGAGCGATCCCCCAAAAATCCGATATTCCAAACCCCTACTGTATACCCCAGACAGGAACTAAATTCGATACCCCAAAACCCTAGACCCAGGGACGTGCGAGAAGTCACCTCGTGAACTCCTGCTCTGCCTATAAGGGGGGTTTCCTATAGTCTCCATTGTAATTCCTTTTTTCGGGGTACCTCAGAGGATCCTAAACATCTAATTTGGTTAAGCCAGACAAAAGGAGCCACAGTGGAGACTTTAGGTAAAGCACCGTTAGAGAACCCCTTTACAGAACTGCTTCTGGAATTCCTTAAGGAAACCCCATGGAACCCTTCTAGAACCGTATGAAACCCTGAAACGAACCCTTACGGGACATACGTCCAGACAGAGAAGATGCCGAGGTCAGCAATCGACGCAGCAAGATTGGGGGCTGCTTGGTAGAAGAGATGGGGCCGATGTACTATACAAATCTAAGTAATTGTTGAGGAATAGCAATTCCATCCATAACTATTGTATGATAATACATCCCAAAAACCTGCTCGACATTTCCAGAAGCCGACCTTATGTCAGACAGTCAGAGGCTTAGTGCCGATGGGCTGTCTTATACAGGTATCAGCTAGCCAAGTCTGCAACGGCTCAGGTTTAGGAGTGATCATGCTCTCCCTCATCCCTTCCACACGAAAAAAAGACTTTCTCCCCCAAAGCCCAGTTCTCGACGCCTGGAGAACATAGTAGTACGATGTTTTGGATTCCTTGTTAGAGTCAGAGTATCACTGCTTTGCCGCAAAGCCTCGTTCCAATTTCCAAGGACCCTATTCTAAAGCCTCAGGCACTAGCCTTAAAGACCTGAGTTAAATTCAGGACAACTGATTCGGTCTGAGGTCCAGTACCCAAAGAGAGCTACATGGATTTGTTCACAGGCCTGGCGCGGGTTTGCAGTTTAGGGGCTTAGGGGCCTGGGTTCCGGGTTCAGGACTGTTAGAATTTGCCGCATGGGTATAAAAGCTGCACGCTGCCCATGTCTCGTGCATAGTCACGAGCCTCAAAGCCCTAAACCCTACACTTTTTAAAACACCTTTGCAGTAACCCTTAGCCTCATGGAACACCCCTGAGCCCTACCTAAACCTCTTTCCTTGGTTCAAGGGTGGAAATCAGCAAAGTGAGAGGCAGCAGAATATTGGACGAGCGAACCATAGAGACTGAGATCCCTAGGGCCCTATTTGGAGGATCATGGGACTTAGTAAGTAAGGTTATAAGTCCCCTAATTGGGGTTATAAGTACAGCTACCTTAGTTATAACCCTACTTACTGAGTCCCATGATCCTTTAAGTAGGGCTTAGATCTGGGCTTTGGGGTGCCATACTGGAATACAGATTTTGGGGGGTCAGGGTTTGCTGAGAAGAGTGTTGGTGAACCTGGGTATCTGTGAATGCTTGCACACCACTCACCAGCAGTATCAGGCAATATCATGAGATCTTGTGGTCTGCGGTTGAATCCGGAAGTGAGATGCGTTTTGTCCGATAAGCCTTGAAGGTTTGTTTATAAGCATAAGCCCCAAATGCCCGAAAACTAAACTCCACAGCATAGTACGCCGGGCCTGGCAGCCCAGACCCTCTAGCATCTTCAATCTCGAAGCCAAAACGGGGGTTCTGATTTTTGTTGGGCTCAGGCGGAAGGTAGATTAGGCCCGGCCGAAGTGCCCGATTTTCTATTGCCAGTTCAGACAGCTCCGCCGGAAGAACTTAAGGTTTAAGGCAATAGCTTGCGGCAGGCGGCAGGAACATCTTTCAGAGCCAAGCCAAAAAAGACTTGTTTAGTTTAGGGTTTAGGGTTTAGGGTACCAGAGACCTTCCTTCTATCCACGGCGGTCGTGGCTAAACTCGCAAGGCGATGTGCAACAGGGTTGGGCGTCTTCGGTGCCTCAAACCAAGCAGAAGCCGGCACAGGCCGAAGCAAGGCCCCAGCTTACCCAGGACTTGGTAGTTGGGAATTCTGTTTTAAACCTGATGAAGAATCCCTGGTTCTATTACAGTATCTCCAGAGGAAGTACTATGATCCTGCACCTTATTAGGAACTCGGGTTTTGCTTGTTCAGGTTCCGATGCTAGTCTCCAGCGGATTTGCCCATTGGCCCAGGAATGGCCCTGGCCAGCCGCAAGGCAAAAAAGAGGCAGAGCGTCGTACGGGCTGTAGTAGTTGCAACAAGGTTTCGGAGGTTTGGGGGTATATTCCAGTACAGTTATGCTAGGAACCCTAAGGCTCTAAGGTATACAGAATAGTATGCAGGAATGTCATTGGTGATAATGACAGCCCCGACATGAGAGGCCAACCGTCAGGAACCAAAGTGAAACTAAGTCTTCAACGTGGGATTGCCAGTAGCAGCCTCGGTCTGTCTCTGTCGTGTATGCTGGGCGATGTTAGGAGGTTTAGGATTCAGAGTTTAGGGTTTAGGTACTCGCTTTGCTTAAGACCCTAAGCCCACAACTTTAGACCCTGAATCTTGCAGGATCCTGCTTCTCGGGATGAACATGAACTCGCCGTCTCCGCACCATCAGATTGTTCAGCTTTGCTCCATAATATGCAGTCTCATGAATTATTTAGCCCGTGCATGGAGGGCCTGTCATCAAAATCACCCCCCTGTAGGATTTCCGAAACAAAAAATGCTATAGCCTAGATCCGAGACCCAGAGTCATACAACGCAGTTAGAGCCTTCACTTGAAGCACTACACCCCTTAAACTCAAACTTAGATCCTACCTATAGTCTCCATTGTAGTTCCTTTTTTTTTTGGTTTAACCAATTAGATATTGAGGATTTTTATAAGGTGTCCCCAAAAAAGAACCACAATGGAGACTATAGTACCCTAAACCCTAAACCCTAAACCCTAAACCCCTTAAACTCACACTTAGATCCTACACTCTCAGAGACACTTTTCACGAGCCTGCCAGGCGGATAAAGCGGCCTCCAGGCAGCAAAAGTCAGGACCACCGGAAGGTCTGGCGAGGCCGGTTTACACGTCTGTATGTATGTATCTATGTATGTATGTATGTATGTATGTATGTATGTATGTATGTATATATATATATATAATATATTTACTTATTTATATATGTATATATACATATTTATGTTTATATTTTTACGGTTATATATATATATAGGATGGCATAGCAGTTGGTCTGTGGTTGGGTGCGGTTCAGGGTTTAGGGGGACAGTCTGTGTTTCGGGTTTTGGGTAGCGTTGCACCTTCTTGTGATGGCGGGGTGTTTAGTCTGGGGAAGCTGCTGCCATCACTATCAGCCGTGTTGGCAGTCACTACCCTGGCCATTCATTCGTGCAAAATGTATGTCTTGAGATGCCTTTGCAGTTCGTTCCTGGCGAGGTAGATGTTTCATGTGCTGGCAACCCTTATCTCTAAACCCTCCGACCCTTAACACTCAACAGTCATCGCACCTCCACCTGAGAAGGAATCTCGCAGAAGTTGGTCGTGAACGTTCTGTCGAAGGACTGCAGGGAACTTTCAACATTGCAGGTAGGCCGTTCAGTTCTGTTGCGTCCCTTGTCGGGCTGCTTCAAAGGCGTGGATGTTCACGAACCAAACCAGGCCATACGCCTCGACAAGGGTTCGGAGACTTGGGGTTTGAGCATTGGACTTTGGAGTTCAGGGGCCTGCCGCAGGCCGGCGTCTCGCCACCCCAAACCCAAAACCCTTTGCTTGAAGCGCCACGCCGATCGAAAGTTCGGCTGCCGAATATGCGATTTTATGGCCCTGAGTCCGGACACGTTGGGGTTTAGGTTTTTCGGTTCATGATTTGCGATTCGTATCAGCTCTAGTTTTGTCGACCCCACACCGACAGTAGACGCGTCTCAAGGAGAGTTCATAAAGCACGTGAGGTCCTAGTCGAAGTCTTTCGACCTCGCTTCTCAAAGCACAGGCCGAGCCCTCAAGTGCCCTAATTGGCCTACCTTGGCAGGACCCTGTCCAGGAACTCTTCAAGGAGGAGAGTGGTGAGGCAGAGTGTGTTTACAGGTTTGGGCTTACGGTTTAGCGACTTACTCTCTCCGCGTGAACAGATTGCAGACATAGACTCCACAAGCACTGACCAGTTCGCTTCGCTTCGCAACATCTACTGTTCGACGCCATCTCCACAGATCGCGGTGCACGAAGCAACAGACTATGAAGATGCACTGTGTCAGGGATACTCACCATCATGGCCTGCAACTGTTCTGGGTATCCTCTTGCCTTCGCCACCACCACCACCACTACCGCCGTCGACACCGCCACCACCACCGCCAACACCACCGCCAACACCACCGCCACCACCACCACCACCACCAACTGATCATCATGATCGTCATCGTCGTCCTCATCATCATCACCATCATCCCTGCCGGCATCATCCTCACCATCACCATCGCTGCAGCAATCAGAAGTGGCGTTATAGGAGTCAGCAGCACCAACATCATGGTAATGCTTCCCTGCCAGCAGCGGCATTAGGCCCAACAAAACTCAATGGTTCTGCGAGGGGGGGTTCTTCTAAGTCTTCTTTGGTGATGCAGGGTTCTCTGGGTGTTGCTTTCTTGCAAAAGCCCTCTGAATCCAAGATCACTTGATGGAAATGAACGGAAACCCTGCAGACAAAAGCAGAACAGAGGTGATTGCCACAACCACCACACCAACAGCAAAAACGAAGGTGACCATATCACCATCATCATCTTCACCATCCCTGCCGGCATCATCATCATTGCCACCATCGCTGCAGCAATCAGAAGTCGCACTATAGGAGTCAGTAGCACCAACATCATACTCCTTGCAATACTTCGAGCCCGGCGGCCAGCAGCGGCATTAGGATCAACAAAACGAAAGCAGTACAAGGGTGATGACCACCACCGCGACGACCAAAGCTAGCTAGCCACAAATTGCTGTAGTAGAGGTATTGGATCGTTCCCAGATGTTGCTAGACCTTGGACTCTGAAGCATGGTCGAGGAACCTAAGGCACTAACACTCGTAGCCCACATGCAGCAGAATCGCAGAATCTGATTGGGAGGCTTTTGGGGCTACAGACAGTGGCCCGGCTGCACTGACGACCGTAGGCACAGGACAAGGCAGGATTGCCAGGAATTATCACCACCGCTGCTGCTACAATTACCATTATTCTTGCCGCTGCCAAAATACCACGACCGCGGCCGCACCCTGCGACCACCACCACCACCACTACCATTGACGCTGTTGCTGCTGCTGATGCTTGCTGCTGATGCTTGCTGCTTGTGCTGCATGCAACTACATCTTCAGCGTTGCCTCGCAGCACGTTGTGAAGCGCTGTTGCTCTCTCTGGCTCTTGCTCTCTCTGGCTCTGTCCGTCAGTCCATGCAGCCATTCACACATCAAGTCAGGCGTTCATATGTTTCTTTAGGTTGTGCTTCTGATTTGGTGTTGAAACCCGGTTCAACCAAAATCCTGTCATCGCATTGAAATTCACGTCGATTGCCACCCGCATAGTACGTATCGATCAGTTTGTGGATCAGGTCAACCCATTTTCCGTTCATCCATCCTTTCCGTCCACCCCGCGCCGCAGGTGAGTCACAAGCCGAGAGAAACCAGTGGGATGCTGCCACGCTGAGAAGGCTGGCCCTTGATACATTGGTTGTGGTGAAGGCGAGTCGTAGTAGTAGCAGTCGTCGTCGTCGTAGTAGTAGTAGTAGTAGTAATTAGCCGTTTCAGTCGTTGTGGTAGTGGTAGTGGTAGTGGCGGTGGTAGTAGTCGGAGTACAAGGAGTAGTAGTCGTAGTAGCAGTGGCAGTAGTAGTTGCCGTAGTAGAAGTAGTAGTACTAGCAGCAACAGCAGAAGCAGCAGCAGGAGGAGGAGGAGTAG